TGCGACCAAGTCCCACGTTGCGGTCGCATAAAAGAAGTGGTGCGATCGCGGGCTGTTCAGCGAGCTTTGTGAGTGGTGGAGATCACGTAAACTGATATATATATATATATCTATATATCTATGTCTGTCTACAAATGATAAATGCACGCATAAGCGCACATATTTTTATTCTAGGGGCTGCGCCCACGGGCGAGCAGCACAGGTAGAAGGCTGGAGCAAGGCCACGCACACCCTGCTGATGCTGATGATGCACGCCCTTTGCGGGCTTCGAGAGGAAGACTAGCTCCTAGCGCTGGGGGGGCCGAGCTGACAGGCTTTGGACTTTCGGGGCGGCGGTAGGGGGCCCTGAGGGGTTGGGCCTGCCTTGGACGCGAATCAAATTACAATACCCTACTGGTTGTGCCTGCCTCCGCGTGCGGCATGCCAGCAGCCGCTGCGGCAGAGCAGTCGCATGGAGGGCTTGAAGGAATATGCATGCATGGCGGCTGTCGAAACTCAGGATGCAGCGTGCCGGTAAGCGCTGTGGGAGAACAGTCGGGTGGGGAGCAAGGACGTGCATGCATGGCGGGCACCGAAAGGCCACGGCCCTCAGGGGTTGGGCCTGCCTTGAACTGGAATTAAATCACAATACCCTACTATTTATGTATGGCCAGAACAAGCCGGGCACGGGGCGGCGTGCCGGTGGGCCCTGTCATTAGATAAACCGAAACAGTGAAACACGACTTCCGGACGCCGTTCCTGGGGTCGGCGAATACAACTACACACTCAGACATACTGAACGGATGATGTGCCTGACATCAGGTCTGGCGTGACAAAGCGACTCTGTCCCGCGCAGTGCAAGCCGGGCATCGAGCCCTTCTCTCCTGGGGCTGGAATCGTGCTCGAATTTTGTCGGTGGGACATTCGTTTCAGTGCTTCAGGAGCTCTGAAAACCTCGCTTGTACAATTAGGTTTCTCTCTTGGGCTGTTTCGGGAAAATAGCAGGGGTCCATCAGCCGCCTGTTGGCAGTTTCACACTGGATATCCTACCAGTTTGCCGATCGTGAGAGTCACAGACACAGAGAACAGACTTTTGCGTGTTTGCATCCGGCTGGTCCGGTTCTGAGGTATTTAGACCACCTTGACGAAGACTGGCGAGGAGATGAACCTTCCGCTTTGGAGATTTCGCCGGTGCTTAACGCAAGTTGGCTTGAAGGTGCTTTGCCGTCTAGGTAGCCCTGGGCTGTAAAGGGCTCCTGGAGACCAACAATGCTTCTCGTGCACCGCGCTCCAGAGAGCTGAACGACCGTGCGTAACTGTACTGTCATTCCTCACCATAAATATTCAATGAACATGTTCGTGCAGTCGTCGCAGAGAGGACACGTGAAGAGTCAAGCATGAGTGCAGATCATGGGAAGTCGGCATGTGCCCGGTTTGCAGGAATGTACGACAATGACCCTGTGGCCGAAGTTCCTGAGGACAAGAGGGAGAAGGTCCTGGGAGGCCGTGGTTCAGATGGTCCAACCGGCATATATGTTGCTTGAGACATGTTTCTGCAGGTCCAGTCAGGCTGATTTCAGCTCTGTTTGCATTTGGTTTTGGAACCCAAGGCGAGGGCTGCATGTGGGGAGAGACCGTTGATGGCCTGGGTCTCAGACGGGAATTCTCTTCAAGGGCCTTCCCCGCCCGTCGCGGGGCGATGTGGGAATCCCAAGGCTCAGATCAGGCTCCCACGCTGTGGCCGCGGCTTGCTGCCATTGCCGAGCGGCTCTGGAGCTTGAAAGGGGATCTGCACTCCGTCGCTCTCTTCTCCTCTGCAAAAGGGCCACTTCGGACAGGAGCGCGCCAGCCTCCTCTTCTGCGGCTGCAGAGTCACGCCTCAATGCCTTCAGGCAGAGGGCCCATGAAGCCCAAGCCTTCGCCTTCAATGTTGGTTCATCGAGAAGTTCAATGGCCAGGTGCCTGCTCCTTCGTCGGGGTGTGGCCGCTGCCCCCACCCAAGTCAGCGGCAGAAGAGCACCTCTTGGGCCAGGGTCGCTCGGAGCCGCAGGGGAGACGGATTCGTTCGATGCACTGATTTAGGATATCTGCGGGAGCTTCAGGATGCTAGCACATCGTCGGGCTGGGGAGAAGTGGGCTGAGATATGCGGAAGCTAAGACAACAGTTGGAGTGGAGGCGGCGGGCCAGTGCATGACGGGTACAGAGATTGCGTCGCGGGCTCTACTCTTTGTCGAGGTCCTGTGAGCAGCCTGGTGGGCCTGGCATCTCGGCTGCCTCTGTTGCCCCGGGCCAAACAAAACGCTTCAAAGCTTTTGGAAAAGTGCCGGAAGACCAGTGGCTGCAGGTTTGGCTGCCTAACGACAGGCCGGTGGCTCAGCGCGGGAGTCACTCAGAGTCGGACAGGGTTTAAGGCTTGACGTTTCGAATGCCTGTGAGTCTGTGAGAGAGAGAGGGGGGCGCTCAAAAAGAAGGGTTTCGGTTTCGTCTCCAATGACTCCATTTCAGGGAGGCAAGGTTTCCCGCTTTCTCCACCCCGTTCGACACGATAGTTATCAGATTAATTTTCGAGTCCTTATTATTGTTAAGCCTTAAACTACATGCAAGCAGAAAGGTGGCGGTGGCGTGTCTGCTTTCTTGCACAAGGCTTGGAGGACGCCCGGTTCAAAACGGACCGAGTGCATGAATGCTTCGTCGAGCTCTTGGCAACTTGCAGTAGCAGCAGCATGCGCAGTAGCAACAGCCGCCGCCGTCGCAATGGGACTGATAGTGCTAGCGGTAATGGTGTGGCAGTGGTGCTGGCAGTGGTAGTGGCAGCGCTGGTGGTAGTAGTAGTAGTAGTAGTAGTAGTTGTAGTAGTAGTTGTAGTAGTTGTAGTAGTAGTAGTAGTAGTAGTTGTTGTTGTTGTTGGTGGTGGTGGTGGTTGCTGCGGTTGCTGCTGTTGAGGTCCTTGGTGGTGTCGTGGTCGTTGTCGTTGTCGTCGTGG